CAGTTCAATTTTGGATTTAAATGCTGTTAGCGGATCATTTGTGGTGAACCCTCCTATACATTGTGATGATCTAATTGAAGCATCTCTAAATCATATTGACCGGTTGTTATCTGAATCAAGCGAWCCTCTATCTTTCATCATATTTTTAGTTGATGGTGATACAACATTTGTCCAAAAACTAGACTCTAGTCAATTCAAACGACGCCAGGTGGTTATCCCTGCATTTGAACATTATTACAGACATGGTTTTCAATACAGTGTACCAAAGTATGAATTCAAAATTGYACAAAACGCATTAAAAACTTATTTATTTAATAACTGTTGTTGGATTTTTAGGACAGATGTAAACATTCGTTCTCCTACAAGCACGTTAGTTGTCTGGCTTCAAAACAATGCCGGATRCCAGCGTTGGAGCCCCAGCGAAGACAGGGTTGAAGCTTTGTTGGAAGCGTTCCGTCCAGGACGAGAACGTGATCGTGACCGCCAGGAACTCCTTTCACCAACACCAAATCCTCTATTAGGCCCACCGCCACTTCCTGTTTAGAGTTAGTAGATATATACATTAGTTATAACTATATATTTAGTGCATGTTTATGTGTAYATGTTTATACAAACACGATAGGCAATTATGGTGTCTAGTTTTACTCAAATTTATTTTTTTTGTGTTCATTATACACCTGTGTATAATGTACTCTCATTAAATATCAGTTTTTTTATACATTCATTTAATGTATATGGTTATAAATTTATAATATAATTATTGAATTTTACTTAATGCAAACTCTGAGCCATAATTGCTATTTCAATTTCCTTTACCTAATAATAATTTTAAACATTTTAAAATGTTAAAAATAATTGTATATAGGTAGATATTTTTAGTTATCGTTTTGTTGATTTATCTATTTGTTAGTATAAGAAAATTTATTATTCTGTCGTTAATCGGCAGAGTATAAATTTGAAACAAAATGTATCAGAATTTCGTCCAAATATTCATAATGATCGCAATGGATTATTTGCTGTTTTTAATATTTCTTATAAAAAACAACATTTTCCTAAAGCACATTTAAGAATATCGAATTAATGTTATTTAGAATTTGTAAGGGCTTAGTACTTATAAGTGTTTAGTGAAACAATAAAAAACCTAATAATTTTCTCCATATAATTCCACTTAATTTAATATTAAATATATATATAATAAGTATATTGTAATTTCATAGTACTCTTTAACAAGCTGTTGTCACTTTTGAATCTAACCAACTAATTGGACAACAATAATTCATTGTTACTCAACAATTTATGGTTAATTAAGTAATTTTTTCTCTGTGGAACCGCCTAGTTACGCACAAATGTACTTTAATGATATTCTATTTATTGATCGTCATTAGCGGACTTACATCAGTACTTAAGTGTTTTATTACTAATTTCAATGTAACTTAACTTATATTATCATTATTGCATTAAGGCATCTAAATTATATACTTAAATATTCCAGAGCATAAACATCATAGTTCTATATCTTTCAAACATTTTTTTTTGTTTTTATCCCTTATAATTATCATATTAGATGCTTATTATTGTCCAACATTATATTTATTATTTTTCTTTGAATTTTACCACTTTTACACATCTATTAATAACCAATAGCCTTAAATAGTTTACCAAAGTTTTAATTGTTCTTTTTTGATAAACTACTGTTAACATTGATTGTGTTTTGTCCTTGTGAATAGTAGTAACAGTAGATGT